TTTATTTATTTATTTATTTATTTATTTATTTATTGTGCTTCGCTTCCAAACATTATACAATGAATGCATTAAAGAAGCTGGGACACCACAACAGCTTAACACCAATTACAGTGGGCCCTTTACAAAATATCAATATAAATATAGAAAACAGAAATAATTAACAATTTATTGCCGAAGGCTAGGTGATTATCGGTAAGTAGGGACAGAGACAAAGTCGAAGTTTTCATTTAACAATAACCACCGAGCCTAAGGCGAATAATTGTTTTAGTATAATTTCATGGGTGATTATTTGGGAAAAAATAAAAATACACATTTCTTCGTCATTTAATAGTCAAAACTTAGGTGATTATCACGTTATAATCACCTCAATGGCAACGAATCAGCTTGGAAAATTTTCAATAATCACCTAAGTAATTATACTTAGTTTACTTAAGGTACGTTTACACACCGCGATCCGCCGTGTACGACTCGTATTTTGGCGAATCCAATCGAGTAGGCACGCGTCAATTGTGCAATTAAAAGTTTCGCTTCAATTCAGATTTTTGGAATTGAGGCATCAAATGAATTATACACCAAAATCCGAATCGCACAGGACAAATCGCAATGTGCAAACGCCCCTCTAGTAACAGCAAGTTAATGGTCGGATGAGACTTCTGCTTTTGTTACATTTGACACAGACAGTCTTCCAAGTTCGTGGATCGTCAACGTTGTAGCAGGATCGTAATGCAGTCAAGTAGTATGCTAATATTCCTTTCTTAAATTGAATAAAAGATAGATTAATAAGCCGTAAATGCTCCGGGAGAGAGTTCCAAGTTCTAGTTGTACGAAGAAAGAATGATCGATTATAAGTTGTTGTTTTATGTTTTCGTTGACGGAATGAGATTGCGTTGACATTAGCAGATGATCTTGTGACCCTTACAGGAGCAATACGTTCAGGTAAGGAATTTTGAGATATCGATACAATGCCAGTAATAGCTTTGAAGAAAAACATTAAGTCTAAATATTCATGCCAAAATGAGAGGGGAAGAAGTTCTGTCGAAATGAGTCTGTCTTTATAGGATACGTCACACATGAATGGGAGGCCTAGAATAAACTTTGAAGCTCGGCGTTGAACACGTTCCACTCGGTTGATGAGCTCCACCGACTGCGGCGACCACACTTGAGTGGCGTAGCCCAGCTCTGGTCGCACAACTGCCAAATACAATGCACGGCGAATCCTTTTATCCGTGATTTCCGTTGCAGATCTACGTACGAACCCGAGCATCCTATTGGCTGCGGCACATCGATCTAGGGTGTGTTTGGACCATGTCAGATTACTAGTAACCCAAACGCCAAGATCTTTCTCCTCTGTTGTTACTGCGAGGGTTTTGTTTTTGATGGTGTAGGGGAATTCGGTGGTAGTTAACGTTTTTTTCCTGGTAATTCTCTGACATTTGCATTTATTTTGATTAAATACAAGTCCAGAAGAAGTCGACCACTCCTCAAGATTATCAAGATCACTTTGAATCGAGGCACCGTCTATGTGAGAATCGACACACTTGAATAATTTTGTGTCGTCAGCAAAAGAAGCTACGTTTGCGTTATTCACCACATCAGGTAGGTCGTTAACATAAAGGAGAAAGAGTATTGGACCCAGGATAGAACCTTGAGGGACACCAGACATAACAGGTTTTTCAGATGATGTAGCCCCTAGAACAGTCACGCGTTGCCTTCTGTTCAACAAGTAGGAGGAGAACCAACCGAGTAAACTACCAGAGATGCCAAAGCAGTTGTAAAGTTTATGAATAAGAATTTGGTGGTTAACTTTATCAAAGGCTTTGGACATATTCATGTAGATCACGTCAGTTTGTTTCCCAGCCTTTTAGCCAAGGGAGGAAAAGAATTTTTTAACCATTTTTTTAACGTTAGCTCGTAATTCTCTGAACTTGGTCTTTAAGGAAACAGTCGGAGATGTTTTAAGCTTTCGTCGCACAGCTTCCTTTTGCCGTAAGGCGTGGATGACTTTGCCATTTAACCAAGGAGGGGAGTTTCTTCCCTTGATCTTTCGAGAAGGGATAAAATCGTTAACTGTTGTGAGAAAAGTGTCTTTCCACAGCAGCCAATCTTCATTTATGTCAGAATCTTGTTGTATTATAGTGGAGAGATCAATCGCTTGTAAAGCAGAACGAAGGCCATCGAAGTCACCCCTCCGGAAATCCAAAACTGATCGGTTTAGTCTAGGACCTGCTCTAATAGATGTCTTTAGATCAAAAATAATAACCGAGTGATCAGTAAACAAGCCGCTATTTTCTGGATTGAGCAAAGTGATGTTATTTATCTGGTTCGGTATACTAGAGATAACTAAATCAAGTATATTGACACCTCTTGTAGCTAGAGTGTTAAGTTGGGTTAAGTAGAAATCGTTCAGTTGCTCTGTGAATGAGATTTCATCAGCACCAAGCGTTTTAGCAGGAGATAGCCAGTTTACTTTAGGGAAGTTGAAATCACCACAAATTATAATGTTATCATGACGAGACGACAGATCAGCCAAAATCGAGTTAAATTTATCTAACCAGATCTTTTCAGCATTAGGTGGTCTATAGCAACAGCAGATTAACAGTTTTAGTTTTGAGTGGGTGATTATTTCTACAGAGGTCACTTCGAGGTCAGATGGATTAACTAGTTCTCGAGATGAATTAAATGAATCTGATTTAATTGCTAGTAGAACACCGCCACCGTTGCGCGTTTTACGGTCTTTCCTATAGATTGAATAACCAGTTGGCAGAATTTCAGCGTTATGAATGTCTTTAGTAAGCCACGTTTCTGTGACCCACACCAGATCGGCTGACTCGGAATAGACAAGCTCTTGGAAACGAGATAGATTACATACTTGTTTGTCATCTGTTACGTGCAAACTTTTTAGACTACGGGCATTAATGACAAGGCATGTTGCAGGATAACTTTTCAAACTTTCCATCTGTGGTTGTTGATGTTGACTATTAGGACCCGGGTTTAAGGAGATATCCCCAGAAAGGAGAATACAAATTAACGCATGCGAAGTTCTACGGCTGACTTGAAAGGTTAGGCCATAGGCATAGCGGTGGTTCGGTGGACAACTAATGTTCCTTAATTTACTATCACGGGTAAAACACCAAAGAGAGCAAATTCTGTCAGGTATAGTGGCAAGTTCGGAACTAACAGTCACGTTGGAGGGTAGGCTCTTATCGTTGTAGAGAGGTCGTGACGTTTTCTGTCGAGTAAACAGCAGCAGGAAAAGGATGAGAACTATGACAAGTCTGATGGTTATCATAATCGTAGATAGATTTAAAGATGAACAATAATGCAAGGTGGGAAATAAAGGTTGACGGTTGAAATTCACAACAGCGACAAAAGTTTATCCAATAATCTTGATAATAAGCACTTTATACACCAAATTTCGGAATTTTAATTTTATGTATAGCTAATAGGGGAGTCCCCTTATTGTGTTGAAACCAGAGACGTTATTCAAGATATAAAACCAAAGTCAAAGGTCAGGAATTCGTTCATACGCGACAGAATATAAATGAAACATTAACGCACAAAAAACACACGACAAACTGCACCATGGAGAACAATAAGTAACTCAAAATGTTACGAATAACAGACAAAAAACGATTCCAGCGTAGAAACATGACTTTAAACGACGGAAACTCCTTTACAGGTACATAAAGATGTTGCCATGACGAACGACACTTGACGCTATTTATTCAGATAATCCCAACGGTCAAATTTTATAACTCAAATTATTTAAATTGAGTTTAACGTTAAAACACTAAAACTTGAGACGATAACAGGAACAAAACACGTAGACCACAGGGAAAATTTGAAGCAAATCCAATAAGCAGAAAACGAGAAAAAGACGAAACCAAATTTCACGATTCGTAAGGATAGGCACTGCAACACGATAAACAACTTCGGTAATGGAAATCCAGAATATATGCGACGATTTACAAACAAACAGTACAAAAGATAAATCCACTGAATCACAATAACTTTATGTTTAATTTGAAACTGAATTAGTATCACTCCAACGAGAAATGAGATAGAACAAGATAAAAATTTGTAGACACCGAAGACTAGACCCTTGATCTTTGATCCTTGAAACTACAAGGATCAAAATGTGAAACCGTGAAAATGTGCAAATCACGTACTAGTTTCAGCAACAACGGCATTGCACAACGCTTAAGACCATGTAATTTACATTCGCCTTTGTCTTTGAGGATTAATGCTATTGTTGATGACCATATTGCCGTTGCTGTTGCCCTTGTATTTGCCAAACTCTCTAATTAAAATACTTTGCAGAGAGTCCTAGCTGAATGGGGGTTCTAAATCGCAATACCCAGCCGTTTTGTTCCCAAATCCAAGTCTCTACTGCAAACTTAAAAGAGCGCACTCTTCAAGGACATTATTATAGAAACTCTCAATTAAAAGTTGCTATATACAGGGTGTCCCAAAAAAAAGTGACACTATAGAAATTATCTCATTGTTCTTAAGCCGCTCTTAAACGCGCGTGATTGCACGCCTGGGAATTTAATAAACTTGTATTTACATTTAAGCATTTTAAAACGTTTTCGCTTTGTCCAAATATTTTAACGCCCGAGTCAAGCAAAACGATTACACTAATAAACGGTTTGCTTTTTTATTTTAAATTCCAGAAGCAGAAGTTTATGCACTTGTGAGATCAACTTAGTGCTAGGGCATTCAAATTATAACAATAGGATAATTTCTATAGTGTCACTTTTTTTGGGGACACCCTGTAGATATACCCTTGAATTTATGCAAATTCCGAAACGTTCAATTGAAAATGCATTAATAGTGGCATATAGGTTTTCTCAATTTTGTGTGTGTCATTCTCAGTCCCAGATACCTAAATCCCGTTATCTCAGTCCAATAATAAGCCAATCCCAGTTCCTATTTTACCTCTTCAGGATCGTCCTTGAACAGTACGTTGAGAACAAATCGAAAATTCAGTAGTGCATGTACCTCTTAAACAATACAAATGACTGTCGGCTCCTGTTTTTCCGTTCGTCATCCTTCCATTGGGGCATGGTAAACAACGGCTGCTGTTCGTGTTTGGTTGGTACGTGTCTTCAGGACAAGCATCACAACTAGTTTTGTTCAGGAATTCTCCTCTACGGCAGACTGAAATAACAGAGAACATAAATTTATTAGCAATATGCGTATTAAGCCATGTTTTGTTAAAAAGTTTTAAAGGTAAAAACGGAATTGATTTCAAGATGCATGCCCTACTGACTGAGCTATATTTTGGATACATAAAGGACCTTGCAGAGCGTCCTGAATGTGGTAGGTTCTAAATCCCATTACCCAGCCGTTTTATTCTCCCAAATCCCCGTTTCCACTAAAAACTTAAAATAATGAACTCTTCAATGACAGTATTAGTCAGACAAGCTCTCAATTAAAAGTTGCTATATAGCTTCCCATGAATTCATGTAAATTCCGAAAAGTTCAACTGATCATGACGCATTAATTGTGGTATAAAGATTTTCTCAATTTTGTGTCTGCAGTCATTCTCAGTCCTAATTACCTAAATCCTGTTATTTCAGTCCAAAAGTAGACAAATCCCGGTTCCTATTTTCCCTCTTCAGGACCGTCCTTGAAGTACTATGTCGAACATGAGTTAATGTTCTTCCTCTGATTTCTAAATACAGACAAGCAGGTTGAAAATACGAGGCGAAGTCGAGTTCGAGGCGCAGGGAGAATTCAGTAGTGCATGTACAGTACCTCTTAAACAAAACAAATGACTGTCGGCTCCTGTTTTTCCGTTCGTCATCCTTCCATTGGGGCATGGTAAACAACGGCTGCTGTTCGTGTTTGGTTGATACGTGTCTTCAGGACAAGCATCACAACTTGTTCTGTTGATGAATTCACCTCTACGACAGACTTAAATAATATATAACATAAAATAAATTAGCAATATGCATAAGCCATGTTATGTTATGTTAAAAAGTATTCACGGAAAATCAGTTAGCATGAACTGTTTATTTTTCAATTATTCTTAGTTATTGCTTGCTTTGTGTGATATCACATGAGGAGAAGATCGCCGTATTAAAGTACGAAACAAGTTATCAACTTTACTTTGAATACGTTTTACGTAATGTGAGTCTGTATGCGCCTCTTGAAAAAGCAAAGTACTATTATAGACAATGGGGAAAGCCACTGGACAGTACGTGGCGTTCCCTCTTCACGGTGGAAAATAATTATATTGCATTAGTTACATAGGCCTGTTGCATTTATGGCCATTGAGCATGAGATTATAAAATATTATAATATAAGTGTGATACAACAGACGATTTGATTGGCTAATGCGCGTGCATTGTGACGCAATAATGCACTGTGGTCCATGGCACTGTCTTGCTCTTTCTCTGTTTTCCCCCTCTTCATCGCTGCTTTTTAGCCAAAAATATAAACAAAAGTGTAGAGCTTTTAAAATACAAAATTTACTAGAAAGCAAGAAGGAATAGACCAAAGGAACAAAGCAATTTTCTAGCTATAGTTCTACATGTAAAATTTACCGGCTTCGCATTCGTCGAATTTGTTGTTATCTCGACATGTTTTGGGTAAAAGCGTACAAAATAGCCGAGAAAAAAACTTCAAAAAGACACAGGAAGACCAAGTGCTTACAAAAAGGCAACAAAAACTGAATACTTTCTTTAGTTACTCCTTTTCTCAGCTCGGATTCGGAATCCGCTGTTGATAGCCTTAACCATAACATTGACAATCATAATAATTATAGCACTAACACTAATATTGAGGCCTCCAATAACCAGACTAATGCTTGTACACTTGCCAATACCCTAGCTAAAACCCACGAAGTAAATCCACCCACCAATACCATAGAGAATGAGGCTACTATCAGCCATCCCCAAATATTGGTAGAGGATAGTATGACTGTAGCACTAATGGCAGAAATAATGAAAGATGACGATACTGACATGGAGACTGACGTTACTGACCCCATAATGGAACGCAAATTACTTGGCCCAGAGGATGACAACATTAACCCTAACACTTACACTAACAATGAGACGCAAAATTACTCTGATTCGACTGGACTGGAAGGCCTTACCCAAAAAACACCGGAGATAACCTACAAACATTCCCCTTCTAATGCTCTTAATAATAATAACCTAGACACTAACCGGATCAGAGACATCATTAACAGTATTCCGGATAATTTAGATAGGACCTTCAGGGCACTTAATAACCATAAATTTAATCTTCAAAAAACTAATATCCTATTGGATAAGCTTGAGCAGCATAAATAGATGAATACCTCCCCAACAGGCCTCATACCTAAAGTAGAATGCAGGGTCAGATTACCACATGACCTTCGCAAACGATGGGATGAAGCCCTTACTGACACATCTAATACCCTTCTTGATATACTAATTGAGAATCATAATAGGACTAAAACTAATATTTTAAGCAATATAGATAATTCACACCAGTATATATATAGTAACGCTCCAGATGAACTAACGGCCTCTAACATTACACAGGTCACTAATAATATGAGTAATAAAACTAACAAAGGTAGAACCCTCCGTAAGTTCAAACCGTATAATAAACGCCATAAGTAACTTGTCCCATAGCAGCTCTTTTACATCTCCATCTAATACTTCAACAAAAACTATCTCCTTTAACAACACCCCAATCCATATCCCATCTCGCTCTATTAACCTTAATAGCAACAGTAATAATTCCATCTTGACTACCCGAACATTAACCCCACTAATGAGCTGCACCCCGAAAGTAATCACTTCTAATACCAACATTACAAGGAGAATCAATTCTAGGGTTGTTTCCTCATCCCCTCGCATAATACAGCCAACACCTCTAGTTTCACAGGCTATAGGGATGTCA